AAGGGAGGAGGGAGGGGGGAAAATGAGGAGCTGATACCAAGGGCTCAAGGAGAAAGCAAATGTTTTGAGAATGATGATGGCAACCAATGTACAAATGTGCTTGACACAATGTATGTATGTATGGATTGTAATAAGAATTGTATGATCACCCAATAAAATGATTTAAAAAAAACAGAGTTGTCTTGAGCCCCCAATAAAATGATTTTTTAAAAAGCGAAGAAGGAAACACATAGGTTATCATTAACTTTGTTAACCACACACATTGTTTCTTTTTCCCTCCACTTCCAGACCAAAGCTTGGGTTGTTCCACAGAAACACAATAGATTGGAATCCCACAGATCCGGTGTAATGAATACAATGTATTCTTTGCTACTAACGTTCAAGCACGAGTGAAGTTTCATTCAGAAACAAGAGTACTGCCAGGGAAACCTCAGCCCCTTGGTCCATGTCAGCAAGCCGGAGTCCCAGTCCCAGGCCAGGCGCAGCAGAGTGAGAACAGACCTCACACAAAGCGCACGGCCGCCCAGGCCTCTCCACGCACCCTCTCTCCACGCACCCTCACGTGCTGCCTCCTCCGGGCACTGAATTCAGGCCAGGCCATTCAGCCAGCACTTACTAAGCACTCTCAACACACAAGGGTCTAGAGCAGTGGTTCTCAGCCTTCCTTCTTTCACAGGGGTCCTCATGTTGTGGTGACCCTCCAACCGTAAAACTATTTTTGTTGTTACCTCATAACTCATTTTGCTACTGTTATGAATCGGGCAGCCCCTGTGAAAGGATTGTTCAACTCCCAAAGGGTTCCTGCCCCACAGGTTGGGAACCGCTGAACGTCCTCAGGGAGGGCCAAATCTCTCTCGGCCATACAGGAAATAAACGTAGGCACTTGGTGTATGAACTCAAAGACGGGGGACAGTAAGAAGACAGACGGGTCACAACCACAAGGATGACAACACCCTGCCCACTGCTGAGCACCCTGGGCCTTCGGGACCTCTGGCACTCACCCTGCTCTCCCCTCCACCCACCAGCTCTGCGTCAGTGTTCACAAGCATATGTGAGCCAGTTCAAAGGAAGTCAGTGGTCCCCAGGGAAATCTGGAAGGGTAAAAACTCCACACAGAGGACAGACAAGGCTCTACTGAGGTTTGAGGTGTGACTAAAATGACCACGAAGAAGAGGCCGTGGGTGTGTGCACTCTGTAAGGCGGGCCACCAGGGACAGTGCGGAGAGGGGCAGCTGGAAGGCAGAGAGAGAGACTCTTGGGGAGGACCAGAGCAAGGGCAATGGCCAGATGTAGAGGCAAGAGAGGTGGAATGTTCTTGGAAAGGACTGGGGGAGCGGGCTAGAAAGGCGGCTGAATCAGGTTGAGGGCAGGCCGGGTTTCCCTGGACAAGTGAGGTGAGAGTGGACAGTTAGAGATCAACCCGACAGAACTAGGAGGCTGCTGGGGAAGAACTAAGAGGCCACTTGGTGGGCTCTCTTGTCCCTCCTGAAGCTGGGCTAATAGGTGGGTAACTAGGAGGGGCGCTGCATGAAAGCAGGGGTTCTGTCACCAC